TAAATTGTAAAAAATTAGCATAAAGTTTCTAAAATTTGCACATTACTATTTTTAATCATGCTAACGTGAAAATTTTCACTCGAATGTTTTTCTATGATACTTATATACTAATTTTTGAAATTTCTAACCATTACTATTTGTTAAAAAATTTTATTAAAATATATTAACTCTATTTTAAAGTAGAACTCAGATAAGTTTGAATTTTTTTATTAATTTAATAGAAAATTTAACAAATACTAATGGTTAAAAGCTCTAAAATTAACATGTAAATATCATAGAGAAACATTCGGGTAACAATTTTTACATTTGCATGATTGATGGTAGTAACGTGCATATTTTAGAAACTTAATGGTATTTTATTATGCCAAATTGATATTTGAAGTATTTAGTTGATAAAACATATTATGGTATTTTTGTGCAATTTAGCCCAAAAAAGGGAAAAACTATAACACACACCATAAAGAGGTTAGTTGTTAGCCCACACGATAAAGTGGTCTAGTTGGTGTGAAATAAAAGGGCACTTCTTTTTTGATCCAAATTTCACGCGGGCCAAAACTTTGGTGGATTTTGTGAGACACCCCAAAGTTTAAAGGGCTTTATTAGAGCAATAGAGAAAGCTTAGGGGTTTAAAGTAGAACTCAGTAATATAATGACTATTCATCACGGAGACCAACAAACCTTCCTCAATTACACAACTCAAAGCCACGTCTCAAAGGGGCTTTCTGAAATCCCCGCTGAACTCAAATAATATATAAGCATGACCTTCACATTCGGTTCATAGAGAATGGAAAATAACCCTTCCTGCAGGCTGCAGCTCGGAAGGCTGAACCAGGCCCACAATTGTGCTGCTCAACCGAGAAATTAACCGGACCATGATGAGATACTATTACGCAGCACTTGGATTATGCAAAGTCCGTAAATAAAAAGATGAGAGTGACATATACGACCGACAACATATCCGGTCAACCAAGTAGGAACACATCCATCATACTTTTACATCACGAGGGTGACATATGACCAACCAAAGAGAGATATCATCCAAGGTTGTGCGCGCAGATTTGTGACCCACCCCCAATCCATAGATATTTTCCAATATTAGGCCACGAATCTTCCACATTGATCCTCTCTCGCCCTGTATTTCCAAATATTATTAATATACTGCCAATTAAATTAAGCAGTATTTTATTAATTTATAACTAGACGAAGAGAAAAGAAGAGTGTGAGAAAGGAATCGTGGCATCTGTGAAATAAGCGTAATTATTTTCTAGTGGTTCGGAATTATAGAAAGATGATACAAAATCGTGGGTTATATAGCTTATGAGATTGTAATTGGGGACATTATAATTTTGTACTCCATGAAATTATTTTCCATTGAGTCAAAATGAATTAAAATGACAAAAAATAATGGATAATAACTCATATTCTGTAGCCCTGATTTTTTACTATTTTTAGTCATTTTGACCTTTCAGAAAATAATTTCTCAGATGCTAAAATTTACGATGTGGCCTTTCAATAAATCTCATAACATGGTAAAATTTGGCCTACGATAGGGTTAGGGTTAAGGCTTGGGTTTAGGGTTTTTTTTGTTTTTGTTTTTTGTTAGGGTTAGGGTTAGGCTTAGGGCTAGTTAGGGTTAGGGTCAGGGTTAGGGTTAGGGCCAGGATAAGGGTTGAGGTCAGGGGGTTTATGGTTAGAGTCAAGGTTAGGGTTAGGGTCAGGGTTGGTGTCTAGGGTTAGGATTAGGGTCCTGCTCTCTTGGCAAAATTAGAAGCGGACATATTTATCTTAATTCTTTTGAGGGCCTGGCTAATGAGCCATTTAATTTGTTTAATTTCACTGTTTCTTTTAAATTCTTTAGTCCAGATCATTGCACTCCTTTGCATTAGAAACTTAAGTAAATCATATTCATGATCTTTTTTTTTATAGCAGTCACGAGGTAAGTGGTCTTCATCCAAAGCAATGTAGGTCTAAATTTATGCGTTAAAATAACGCTATACGTGTGTTCACAATCAAAGTGGCGGTCAAAATGTACTTAACAGTACGTTACGTTTTGGGCTGATATTGAAAATATGGTTTTTGGCCTCATTTACCTATTTTACTCCTCCTTCCCAGCGGTTATTGGGCTTTTCTTGCTGGCTTCATGCTTTCTTTTAATCACTTATCGGTTTCTTTTCATTTTCTAGTTTATATGTAGTGAAATGGGTATTTTATTTTCTTTGCTATTCCAAATGGGCCTTTTCTAGGATATGTCCAATGGGCTTTTTTTATTTGTTTTGCTTATCGGTTTCTATCTATTTTATTTTCAACAATAGTTTTATTTAAAAACACCGTTAAACATTCGACTGAAAAATGAGCCGGAGACACAGCCAGCTGCTCGAGCTAGCTACCCATCCCTTCGCTGAACTCGCGGACAGAAGCTTCCAAATAAGTTTTATTATTGTTATTTTTTGTTGACGTAAATAAAGAAAAGCCAAATTGACCAAGAATTATCTACTTGAATAATATAAAGTGCTGACAAGTATGCTACAAGTTCAAAGGACCTAGGATAATAAAAACGGACGAGAGCTTGATTGGATGTAAACAGTAAACAGTGTTCATATTTAGCTTGCGGGACTCATGCAAGTCCACACAAAGATAGTGGTGAAAGTTGAGTAATGTCGAACAAGATGTTTCTGGTAATCAAACAAAGACGATATTTGATTGAAAACCACACTCCCGTTTTGCAAGAGGATGAATGCTCATTAGAGAATTCCACAATTTTTTTTAAAATTTAAATTACATTAACACATATAAATATCAACCACATAAACCCACATGAAACATGTACCATGTTAAGTGCGTAATAGATAGTCCGTCTAATAATTGCTTGGCTCACAGATAAGGGTACTAAACCGTATCTGTATCCGAGAAAATATCCGTGACCGTATCCATTAGGATACGAATATGGTTACTCAAATCTATAACCGATAGAATATGGTTATAGATATGGTTTTGGAGTGAAATATCCGTATTTGTATTCGAAATATCTGAATACATATTAGTCATACTCTTACGTTAGTTTCGATTATTAGATTATGGATTTGTGGTTAATTTTGAAAATCAAGATGTCTAATCTTAGCTTTTCAATCATAATGAACATATTAACAAACTCTTCTGTATCACATGTAGGCCTGTCCATCCGGGCTGGCCCGGCCCGGAAATCCGGGCCCGGGTCGGGCAAAACCGGAGCCCGGACCAGGGTACCCCGGGCCGGGCTCCGGGTCGGCCCGGATTTTTTTTAATTTTTTCCCTTTTCTTTTTTTTTTTGATAAAAAATGCTGAAAATTAGTTTAAATTTATTATATTTTAAATAATTATGTATTAGTATATACTTGCAAATTATTATGTAATTATATATTATATATACATATATTATATGTAAATATATTGTATATATTTATAAGTTATAACTTGAGAGAGAAAATCACATAAGTAGCCATTGCCCATTGGGCCAATGGGGAAGAAGTACCCGTTGTAATATACTATACTTATATACTAAGAGAGAGAGTATACACACACATATTATACATACTAGTTGGATTGCACGTGCAATGCACGTGGTAATTTTTTTTATTTATTATAACAAGGTTATAAAAATTTACAGTGAGGGGACGATAAATGTTCATGTGGATGTATCCGGTAACTACTGTTCTTGCTGCAATCTTCTTTTATGCAGCGAGGGGACGATAAATGTTTTGATTTTCGTTTTGTATTTTTAGAGATAGTTCAGAAAGCATGACAAAAGAGTAGGATTAGTTTAGAGTTTTTCATGTTGCTAAAATAATCATTTCATATGTAACCCAATGTTTTGATGCAAGGATTAAAAGAACCTTTGTTGTTTCGTTCATTATTGATCATTGCATAGAGCTCAAGATGTGCAGTGTTTTTTCATGACAAACTTAAGTAGGAGTTAAGTTGCAGTATATAACACATGCTTCTAAGAGTTTCAGCTATCAAAATGAATGCAACCTCTGATATAATACTTCTCTCTCCTGAATCCAAAAAAACTTTAATTTGCCTGCATGAACCAATCAGATATCTTGAAGGAAAACCTAGGGTAGAAGTATTTTGACAAAATGATTTCAATAGCATAACAGAAAGCAAAAAATATGATTTGGCTTCTCAGGTTTCTAACATTGTTTCAATCTTTTTACATGGTAATGTAAGCTAACTGCACCGAGAAGATGCATACAAATATTTACACCATAATCATACTTAAATATTTTTTACAAAGGAATTGAGCTATCATCAGCTAGGGTAGTCTAGATGATAAAGATCTCGCAATACATTACGTTGATCCCCTTTGTTAGTGTCTATTCTTATCAAATAATTTGGACCATGTCATGAGAAATTATAAATGCCATCTAGCCATTTTGCAGAACATTAGAGACTCAACCCACAAGCTATAAAAAATGTTTCTGAAATCAAAGCTATCACAAGGATAAATTTCATATATATGAAGTTTCAGTTGTGCCAATTTAATAGACCTAAAAGGACTATGTACCTTCTATAAACATGACGTGCCACCACTTCCATAATTACCTTCAAATGAGAGCATAAAGTAACTAAGGAAGGAAAAAAAGGCTGAAATTAATTATTTCTATGATATCCGTCAATTTGCTTCTTTGCATACAAGAGCACTTAAAAACCAAATCATGATCTTGTATTTCTAGAACATATACTAAAAATTAACAGAGTTTTCTCAGCATTATCCATACTTGTAGGGGTGAGCAAACTGTTGATTCATTCGGGTTTTATCAATTTTTGAACAACCGAACAAAACCGCCAATTATTCAAAACTGAACCAAACCGTTGCAAGTCGGTTCGGTTCGGTTCAATTTGTTCGGTTGTAACTTCATCATCAACATTTTCAGAATAACTTAACACAATACAATCCAAGACAAACCAAATAACTAAAACAATCCAAGCCAAATAACTAAAACAAATACAATACAATACAATACACCAAGCCAAATAACTAAAACAATTACAATACAATACAATACACCAAGCCAAATAAACACAATGCATTAACAATCCATGCACCATCAACATTTTCACAATGACTTGGTGCAAGTTCCAGCAAGCCAGCAAGGTGTTGGAGTTCCAGCAAGGTGTGGTGCAAGTTCTAGCAATCCAGCAAAGTCCACTTTATTCACTCAAAGAATGCATTCCTTTTATCTAAAATACATTAAAAAAAGGTATTAATAACCTATATTCCATAAACTACATAGTTGTGTCTAGATTGCAAGTAACAATAATGTGGACTACAGCAAGTATCAATCTAGTTGGATTGTCACTAACTATGATACTTAAAGAGAGCAAGGAAGCAGGCTCTGGTGAGAAGAAAGAGCTAAGATATACAAGGTTTGGAGAATACCAAGTAAAAAAGGAGAGAGCAGTACTGACTCATTCTCCACTTTTGTCATCCTGCTGTGTGTTTAAAATGCATCCTCCCTATCATCACTATCAACCTTATATATGATTCCAAACCTATTTCCGCCCACTTCAATGCCCTTGCTCTTTTGTTCTTTTGGAGTGAAAAAAGTTTAAGGCCTCCAATCCCCTACAACGAAAGATGCTACAGTGCCTTCTTAGCTAAGAAAAAATAAGCATAAAGGTAAAAAGAAAGGCAGCGCTCTATGATAGCAATTCAAACTGCCATGACCAACAACTATAACTCAGCATCCAATTTGATAGGCAATTGTCTGCACGTTATACTACTTAAAGGCAAAATTATGAAGCACTTAGCCCTCGTAAGATAGTTAAAGTACTAAAATCAAAAAACACTTTCAATCATATTCAACAACGTCATTCTCTTCTTCCCAATATACATTAAATGACATTTAAATTGCCAACACTTCTTTCATGATTTCAGAAACTTAAACAACTGCAAATATTTATTCAACAAACAATTCCCATGAATCTTGGACTGAATAACCCCAGCAGAGAAAACAAAATATATTACCTAAAATTCTCCAGGGTGAGAAGATGAGTAATTTCCTTATATAGTTCTTCATTGAATGTAGAAAAAACTTTCAGATCTTTTACTAATATATCTACCGCCTTACTCCTGTCATGGCTGTCAGCGGAAAAAAAAATAGATACCATTATTTAAAAAAACATATTTGGAAAAAGAGAACTTTTTATAATTAATAAAATGACCGTTAATTGAACAGAGAAATCAAAGGGTTAACCTGTCAAGTGCCTCTAAATACTTCTGCTTCCTAATCTCGAAGAAAATCTTCATCGAATATCAATTATCATCCACGAAATATTTGTGACACACACATTTATCATAGGTGTCCTAACCGTTAAAAGAAAGAAATTGCAGAGAAAACATGTAAAATGCCAATAACTTTGTAAGAGATAGAACCCTTTGAAGCAAATTTGTAACTGAAATTATTACATAATGCATCATAATAAAGAATTTAGAACAGAAATATACAACCAAAAGATAGAGCTTGAACTCATAATAGACTATGTAAGTGAATGTGATAAACTAAAATAAGAGGAGATAATAGAAGCAAACCCATAGAGAAGGGGAATAAAAAAGAAACCTCCTAATACCCCAAAAATCTAATCCAATGCATGTTTCACTAAACTCACTTACACATAGTCAACCTCAGAATAGTCGATAAAAATTGTGATTATTAAGCTGGTGTTCGACGGCGACATATATACATATATACTTATCTATATAAGTATATACAATTCTGGACCCTCTAAATAAATACATATATACATTAGTTTAGATAATCAAAATGCAACTTATATACTTATCTGACGTTTTGTTAAGAATCTAACATTAGAGGGTTTTTTGGGGGAAAATCCCTCTAACCAGTTTTCCATTTGATTATGCTCAAATGTTTAGACCACCAGTTTTCCATATGTCACTACTTATACAATTGGAAAATGACAAAAACTTAGATCACAATCACAACATCAAAAAGCCAAAACATGAAGTAGTGACATATGCAAACCAAGCAGATAAATCACATTCTTAAAAATTGAGATAGATTTAGAATCCAATTATAAACTTAAATATCCAGTCAAAAAGGGTATTTCTGGGGCAATACGAAACTTCTGGTATTTACATTATATGTCAGAGCTTATTATGGTCTATATAACTCCCTTTATGTTTTAAAATATTTATTACTGAACTGTTCTTTTAGACTACTCGTTCCAATTTCCACGCACATTCTTAGTAGCACTTCATAAGGTTTAGAGGTTACTTATAATCCTAACATGAAAAACATTAACTGATGTTGCTTTTAAAAGTGGAATTTGCAAATTCACAGTACTTGCATTTGTCAACTCTTAAACATCTCAAGATGCACAAATCATGTCCTGTCACCTCTTTGATTAGATTAGCTGGCTAATCACAGTTTGTGAGTCTCCCTATTTTAAAATAAACAAACTCTTTCAGTCAGATTGTTAGTTTTTAGTACACGGATGTTTGTCTATAATTTAGCTGTGCTGAGATCTAATTTTGTTTGCTATTTTAGGTTACTTCTCAGCTTGCTGCTAATCCTTCCTCCTTAGCAGCAGCACCAATGCAGTCTCACGTTTGGAGTGCTTCATACCCGGTTTTCTTTCCTATTGATGAGGTAGTTCTGTTAGATACTCAGAATTTTTTTTTGCTTCAAGGTCTATTAGTTTTTTGCCTTGCGTCGCATTTTTATCTGAAGTTGTTTTTGTTATAATGTTTATTGCTAACGTTTTATATTGAGTAGAAGTAGGAATTTGCTCAACTTATTGTTTTCCTTCATGGCAAGCTAAGTGGCTTATCTACTTCTGTGAAAGTCATATACAAAGATTCAGGAAATAATTTGGTGAACTAAAGCTTCAATCCATACTCCCAAAATTAAGTAAATATAATGCACTGCTCCTGCACCTGACAAAATCTATGTTTTAGTTAATTTGAAATCTCATACTATTATTACGCAAAATACCATCATTTCTAGCACTTTCCATCTATTCAAAATATGTCTAACCGTCTTCCTTTACATCCATCTTTTTGCTTGTACTTCATCACTGATTCATTCTCTAATTATGATCAAATTAAATAAGATGCATGGTGCCTATGAATGAATATGTATTTGGATAAGAAAAATGAATCGGAAATGCAGATGACTCTCCGTAGTCTTTTTCTTCTATGCCGATACCAGATTCTATCAATAATGATATCAACCCTAAGATCATTTGTTTAGCTAGAAGGTAGCATAGAGGATTTGAAATACTAATATCACTCTGAAAGAATATAAGAATATGCCCCGCAGATCTTCATCTTATACCTAATGTGCTTTTTAATATTTATATAACCTACAAACTTTAAAAAATAATAACAAGCAGTACAAAAAAAAAGTAAAGAGAATCTTACAGAATAAGGAGTGTTATAATGCTGGCCTAAGGAATCCCCTCCTTTAACCATTTGAACACCTTGTGTTGCATGAATAAATGCTGGGTTCCCAGGCCCACCTTGCCACGATGCAGGATTAACCGATATAAAGCCAATCACAAAATCTGAATGTTGTTCAGCAATTTTTACTGCAGCAGACGTGTAATCTCCAGTGGCGAGGTTACCCGCAGAGCTCATTTCTGCAAGTAGTAACAGTCCCCTCCCTCTAGGCAAGCCCTATGAATATTAAATTTAAATAGATACATATCAGAACATTTGATTATGATGCATCAATTGAGAAATGTTAGAAGTTTAAAAACCTTCAACTTAAGGCCATCCACAATTCCAGGTCCAGAGATTATGTGTGCATTAGTAATATCCGCCCAGTCCAAAATGCGGAAGATACCTCTGAAACAATACAATAGTGGGCATAGAGACACTGTTATTATACAAAAAGAACATTGGATGTTATTCCTGCAATAGGAAAGGCATAGAAGCTAAAAAATGTTAAAGCATGTATATCTCACCCTTCATACTGCATAGTTACAGTATTTCCGATGTCGGCAAATTTACGATCTTCAAAGATTAAAAAGTTGTGCTTATCTGCAATCTTCAGTACAAATGAAGTCAACGACAAAACATAATTAATAAGTAATGTGCAGAGAAATCATTAAAGAGAAGGAAGATAGATATGATCAAATAGCATTATGATAGTAAAACATTCTTCAAGCTATGACAAAGGCAATCAGTTAGTAATTGGGAAAGGCATAACAAATATTGTTGCAAATGAGATTGAAAGAGGAAGTTACCGCGCGGAGCTGAGAGCCGAAATCTGGTGTAAAATCGGGCAATATATCCACGTGTGTTTTTAACAAGCAAATCTCCGGTCCAACCTGCACGCAAAAACATTGTCAACACATTATTGAAAGCATTTCTTCCTGAATTACTTTGGAGCTTCTACTATATCTTTGCATTCCCCCCAATAATGAGTTTTTTGGTCCCATTTCATATGAAAGTCGGATTTTCTTAGTACGGCTAATAATCCATTGCTAATTTTTATTGTAAATTAGCTCCCAAACCAATGGGCAAAATTAAATTCGTACAAGAATATCAACATAGAAAAGGTGAATGAGCAACCAAATTTAAGATCTTCGATTGATTTTGGGGAAAGTGAAGAACAAACTTAGGGCACCGGGGTATCAAATTGTCAAATCATCGTCTATTTGCAAACTTTGGGGCATCACATTGTCAAATAGAACCTTAGGGCGTTGAAGAACAAACTTAGGGCACCGGCGTATCAAATTGTCAAAAACTCATCGTCTATTTGCAATCTTTGGGTATCACATTGTCAAAACAGAGCTTTAGGGCATCAATTTTTTTTATTTAAAAAATAGAAACTTTGGGGGTACTAAACTGCAAATAAGCCAAAAGCAAAAAAGATTCAAACCTTATCCGCAATCTCGAGCAACTCCTTGGCAGTCGCCACATCCGCCGCCAGGCACAAATTAGAGCTTCCTCCACCGTCTCTATCTAATGCCGCACATCGTCACCTCCAGTTCTCTCCATCCCCTCATTCATTATTTTTAGTATCTAAATTTTTTAATATCCATTATATTCCTCTAATAAAAACATTCCAAAGTAAATGAAAATGTCATTGAAATCACTATAAATAATTAGATCACAACATAGAGATTCAAAGCATAGAGCGAAGGAAGAATATAAACCTTGGCGGTCTACTAACTGCAGATTGTCTGGCCGACGAAGTAATCATCTGCAGCTACAATTCCAAATCCTTGTCAAGCGTCGGGCAATTTGACAGAAACTTCATGTAAGTCTCACAATATCAGGGCATCAGCTTACCATAAGAAAGGCATAAGAAATGGAATTGCTATAATGTAGTGATTTGCATAATTGAATCAACTGTCACAAGCAACATGTTCTTCTGTTATTTTGAGTAGCACATCTGCTTGCTCTAAGATCACACTAAACAAACAGGAAGCTTGCAAAATAGCACTTCCACAAATAGCAGAAGTTTCAAAATGAGTAAAATAAGTAGGTGAAGGCGGAGAATTAGGGCAAAAAATTAGAACAAAATGAGAGGACTTAGGAACTTAAAGGGAATAGGGTGAATTGAGCAGAACTAAAAAAAAATCCCCAACAGTAACCCCATTCCACATAACTTTCTAACTTTCAATATTATTTTCAAAAACACCCCAAAACTTCTGACATTATTATCATAAAACCCTCGTCACACTGTTAGGGGGGTATATTTAAATTATGATGGGATCAAATAAGCTCAAGAAGCTCAGAACGTACAGTTCCAATCAAAATCACATGTGAGAGCCTAAACACCCATAATTAACATTCCACGATAAGGTTTTTGGGTACAAAGAATTATGTGGCTTGACATGCATCTCCAAAAAAATGTAAAAAAAAAGGACTCACAGCCTCAGAGACACATAATAGAGAAAAGGATGGTGAAAACTAAAGGCACGCAGGATTCTTTTTCTTCCACCTGATCTATAAACATGGCTAGGTTCAGTCCTCGAACCTTATATAGGGACCAATGTCGAATTTCTCAAGCAAGAAAATCCACAACAAGTACGAAGATCAAGGCTTTCATGAGTGTG